ATCTCTCTCTCTCTCTCTCTCTCTCTCTCTCTCTCTCTCTCTCTCTCTCTCTCTCTCTCTCTCTCTCTCTCTTGCACTCGCGCAAAAATCCACGTGAGACTTAATTTTCCTCACCATGAATCTGTAGATGTCATCTTTGATATCGGCATAGCTTTGCATGGTCCTTTGGGCCTCCGGGGGTTGCGAGTGGGTCTGGTCTTCCTCGTGAGTGTGTTCCTCGTGGGGTGCAGGCTTGCTAACCATGTCAGGCGGGGGCGAGATTGTGTGTGGCGACGGCGAGAGCTCTGCTGTCTGCTCCATGAGTTCTGAATAGTGTAGGATTTGGTGTTGATGTGTTTGGTGAAAGGGGTAGGATTTGATGTAGAATTGTGTAATGAATGGGATAGGATTTGATGTTTAGGAGTGTGGTGACTGGGGTAGGATTTGGTGTAGAGCTGTGTGCTGAATGGGGTAGGATTGGGGGTAGAGGCGTGTGCTGAATGGGGTAGGATTTGGTGTAGAGCTGTACCATGTAGTGTGTTGTGTTGTGTTGTGGTGTGGCACTATGTAGTGTGTTGTGTTGTGTTGTGTTGTGTTGTGTTGTGTTGTGTTGTGTTGTGTTGTGTTGTGTTGTGGCACTGTGTAGTGTGTTGTGTTGTGGTGTGATGTGGTGTGGCACTATGAAGTGTGTTGTGATGTGGTGTGGCACTATGTAGTGTGTTGTGATTTGGTGTGTTGTGGTGTGGCACTATGTAGTGTGTTGTGTTATAATGTGATGTGGTGTGGTGTGGCACTATGTAGTGTGTTGTGTTGTGGTGTGGCACTATGTAGTGTGTTGTGTTGTGTTGTGATGGGGTATGGCACTGTGTAGTGTGTTGTGTTGTGGTGTGGCAATATGTAGTGTGTTGTGTTGTGTTGTGATGTGGTGTGGCACTATGTAGTGTGTTGTGGTGTGGTGTGGCACTATGTAGTGTGTTGTGTTGTGTTGTGGTGTGGCACTATGTAGTGTGTTGTGTTGTGATGTGGTGTGGCACTATGTAGTGTGTTGTGTTGTGATGTGGTGTGGCACTATGTAGTGTGTTGTGGTGTGGTGTGGCACTATGTAGTGTGTTGTGTTGTGTTGTGGTGTGGCACTATGTAGTGTGTTGTGTTGTGGTGTGGTGTGGCACTATGTAGTGTGTTGTGTTGTGATGTGGTGTGGCACTATGTAGTGTGTTGTGTTGTGTTGTGATGTGGTGTGGCACTATGTAGTGTGTTGTGTCGTGTTGTGTTGTGGTGTGGTGTGATGTGGCACTATGTAGTGTGTTGTGTTGTGGTGTGGCACTATGTAGTGTGTTGTGATTTGGTGTGTTGTGGTGTGGCACTATGTAGTGTGTTGTGTTGTGTTGTGATGGGGTATGGCACTGTGTAGTGTGTTGTGTTGTGGTGTGGCAATATGTAGTGTGTTGTGTTGTGTTGTGATGTGGTGTGGCACTATGTAGTGTGTTGTGTTGTGTTGTGTTGTGGTGTGGTGTAGTGTGATGTGGCACTATGTAGTGTGTTGTGTTGTGGTGTGGCACTATGTAGTGTGTTGTGATTTGGTGTGTTGTGGTGTGGCACTATGTAGTGTGTTGTGTTGTGTTGTGTTGTGATGGGGTATGGTACTATGTAGTGTGTTGTGTTGTGATAAGGTGTGGCACTGTATGTGAGGCAGCGTGGTGAAACCAGGCGCTCGTCAAAATAATGACAGTATAGAAACTGACACTTTTCTGCTGGTTTGGCAAATTTTATTGAAATTTTTTTCTTAGGTTCAACAGCTTCTATGTCCATTTAAGAACCCATTTCAGTGTTAATTATATTTTAAAACATTTGTTAAAGGCACAAAAAATGTAAATTGTCAGTATCCACGGACTCTGAGTCTTTGTAAATAACCACACTTTGGCAGTTATTTTCTCACTAATTTTACCTCTCAAACCAGGCGAACACCACCTATTTCAATTGCAAATATCTCGACATGTACTCAAGATAAATGAGTAATTCTTTCATCGAAAGCAAGGCAAGTAAACAACTCCATATGCCCAAAAATTGACGAGCGCCTGGTTCCACCGCGTTGTGACACATATGTAGTGTGCTGTGGTGTGGTGTGGTGTGGTGGGGTGTGGTGTGGTGTGGTGTGGTGTGGAACTATGTAGTGTATTGTGTTGTGTTTTGTTGTCGCACTATATAGTGTGTTGTGATGAGGCGCGGTGCTATGTTGTGTGCTGCGATGTGATGTGGTGTGACACTATGAAGTGTTGTGATTAAGTTTATTTCTCTTGCAAAGCGCATTGTATAGATCTACATTAAATCCAGACTGCTGGCCTATAACTACATCACATACTGCTTCCACCCCATCCTCTCCCCCAGAAAATAATTAGCCTAATTAAATAGCAATAGCAATAGCAAAGCAGTAAAATGCAGACCTTTTAGGATTACCGTAAGACGTTTGTCATCAGCAGAGCAGCCCAAGTCGCAGGTATTTGCAGCAGGCGAGAGTAAGTAAAAATAGGCAACCTTGATGTTGTCGGCTCATGTTAAGTCTGCCAGATGTTTCATGCGACACGGACATAATAATGCTAATAATAATATAGATCTAGAACTAGATCTAGAAGGTTGCTATATTTTTTTTCTTTTGCCTAGTGGTGCCGTGGAAGGAGTGGGCGTAACTTTTGTACACATGCAAAGCTGTGCAGTTTAGTCTCCGGGAATTCCCGTATTTCTTGGCTTTTTAAATTCGCACCATCTTTCGAGCTTGTGAAGGCCACCTATGATGGCACAAACTGCCCAGTCTTCCACGAAGGACAACGCTCAGAACTATTCCAGGAACAGACAGGGGTGCGACAAGGATGCTTGCTCTCACCTTTTCTTTTCATACTGGCAATTGACTGGATCATGAAAGAAGCCACCAGAGGAAAGCGCAATGGAATACAATGGATCCCTTGGCAGCAGCTGGACGACTTGGACTTCGCCGATGACCTTGCGTTGCTCTCTCACACACATGCTCAGATGCAAGAAAAGACCAAGGAACTCAACTGCCTATCAAGGAGTGTTGGCCTACGTATACACCAGGGCAAGTCGAAAGTAGTGAAGCTAAGAAAAGTGTCAAGCCCTGCTGTGACAGTGGAAGACAATCCCCAAGAAAAAGTGGGCTCCTTTATACCTACCTTGGAAGTGCCATCGATGATAAAGGTGGAACTGAGGAAGAGATAAAAGCAAGGAACGCCCAGGCCTGGTCAGTATTCAAGCAATTATCAAAAAGTTGAAAAGCAAGCAACATCTCACTGCGCACCAAGATTCGACTCTTTAATTCCAATGCCAAGTCTGTGCTCCTCTACGGCTGCAAAACTTGGAAGAAAACAAAGACAGTGCTGAATAAAGTCCAGACTTTCATCAACAGATGTATGAGGAGTATCCTAAGAATTAAGTGGCAGGATAGAATAAGAAATGAAGAGCTATGGGAAAGGACCGGACAAAAGGATATAGAAGTAGAAATAGGACTAAGAAAGTGGCATTGGATGGGACGCACCTTCAGAAAGCCCAGCGGAAACATCACAAGACAGTCACTGCAATGGAACCCACAGGGAGCACGAGGCAGGGGTAGGCTACGAAAAACATGGAGGAGATGTGTGGAAAGGGACATGAGAGAGATGAAGCTCACTTGGAACGAGCTAGGAAGAATGGCCCTGGACAGAGATAAGGAAGGAGCTTGCATGTGGCCTATACCCTACCAGGGGTGAGATTGGCACGGATGATGAAAATATTTAAGGTGTCCCGCACGCTCATATGATCTTATGCAGTTGCGAGCGCCGTAAAACACTAACCACCCCCCCCCCCCCCCCCCGAATTTTTTTAAAAATTGCATATCTTTTTGTATTTTTCTTTCCACAGTTTCCACATAATGAATTTTATCTATAAATTATTTGAAGCCGTGGTATATTTTTTAAACTAAAAAAAATACCTTCTCAGCCCAAGAAACACGCTTTAAAAATTCAATTTACTTCAGTACACGCATGGCTCCGTTCTTTGTTTATAGGCCTATGTTTAATTATGTCGAGTGTGCCTGGTCGAGTCGACGACTGAAGTCGCCAGTTGTAATGAGCGCATACTGCGCCTGGTGACGAAAGTCGCCGACGGTACTAAAAGTAAACGTAATAGTTATTAAATTTATTACTCTCTGATTGCACGAATCCACCACAGAAAGACGGTTGGGGAAACCCCAAGTTAAAAATAGAATGAGAGGCGTCGGCTTGTTTGAAAACGGAAGTGTATTGCTCCGTAGACCGTGGAAGATTAGAAATCCTTGAAATCTTGGAACCACAGCCTCAAATTCTTGGTACAGGAGAGTGAGAGAGAAAGAAAGATAGGAAAACACGAACCTTTTTTCTCACATTTGGATAGGCCTATTCAGAAGCGTATCTATTATAAAAGCAATCGGTAAGGTTAGATATAGATTCTAACGTTAAACTCTTTCGACTTGCTTGTCCATGAAGAGTACAGAATGGGAGGCTGCTGCCCTTCTCACGCCTTTTCAGAAAATCTTCCTTCTTTCGTAACTTGTACATTTCTTTTTGTTCCCGTTGTCGACTGTTGCATGAGCCCCTTTGTCGTCTTTCCCAATTGATTTTCAGCAATTGTATTGTACTGAAGAGAGCAGTTCTGCAACGAGTGACCACTATTAAATAGAAGGGAGTTTGGGTTTGAGCTAGAGTTAGGGTCAGGGTGAGGTAAGTCGGTAAAAATGTTAGGGATGACTAATCGTTGCTGTGGTCACTCACTCTTTGAACGGAAGTCCTTGCGTTAAGGAAGCAAGTTACGACAACAATCTTGTGGTATTGTAACGATTTTCTATCATGTACACACAATTCATTATTTTTACTCTTACACACACCTGTGGCTGTAAACATCGGTTTGATCGTTGAGTTAAAATTTAGGCTGGGCGGCTCTTTTTCTCAGAACGCTCGGGAAATTAAACTTGCTTGACCCTATTTCTCCTAGCGGTTTACGTTCTCAAGATTCGTTGGTTATTTGGGAATGGAGAAGCGCGTGTGTGTGTGTGTGTGTATGCGTGTGTGTGTGTGTGACATGCGACAAAACGTAAAATGACGCAAACTATTTTTAGGTATGGTGGCCATCTTGTGTGACGTCAGACCGGGATACCCCTCCGATCACGTGACTACATCTAAATATAGCCAACCGCCTGTCACCAAAAATCGTGTAGAGAATCTTTGATGACATCACGCTTTGGTGCGATGTTTTTCCAGGAATACCGATGTAGTATCATGCATAAAAGTATGATGCTGTGCTCTGATGATTCTGCTGCTTATTATAAATCTCTTCTGTGCATTGTTTATCGCGCCCGCGGGGGAGGGGGGGGTGGGTAATCTTCTAGCATTTTTACGGCAATTTCCGCTCGATTAGATTGTCTTTGCATTTATCGGGTTTCAATTTCAAGCATCACTACCGGATTTCCGAAATGTTAGACTTTACACTAACATACCTGAAACCTTGTAACCAATCAGTAGAGCATGGCTGACGGGCTGCAGTTAGCAGCAAGTGGGAAATTTTGTAGTGCGAAATGCATCAATACGGATAATACGTCAAAGTCAAGCCACTGATCCAACATGTCGTTCCACGCCATATATAGAAGGTTCTCTACTACACAATCTTTGGTATCCACAAGGCCTTCTAATTCTGAAAATAGTCTGTGGGTATCCCAGGATGCGATGACATCACATTACTAAAATTAGCCGCCGATCAGGCAGGTGCGTCGTTCTACGTTTAGCCGCATGTGTGTGTGTGTGTGTAAAAAGGTGTGAATGCATTGGGGGGATGGGGAGTGTGAAGGGATTTTTTTCGTTTACATGAAGGATTTTAGTTTTTGCTTTGCTTTAGGGGAGACTAAATGTTAAATTATATGTTATTGCCAAAGTAAAGCAGTCTTGTTTTCTCGCAGTACCTTTTGAAGGCTTTTCAAATGAAGTATAGTCCAGGAATGTTGCCTGAACCACAATTGAATTATTATACATGTGAATATCAGACATTTAAAAATCTCTAGCTCTAGAAATTGAATTCGATGCAAAAAAAAATGCTTCTTCCTAGTCTTCGCAGAATGGCAGAATGAAAGATGACGCCGAACCCTCGCAAATAACCTAAAAATCTCGAGAACGGAAACCGTTCAGAGAAATAGAGGTCAAGTTTATTTTCCCGAGCTTTCGGAGAAATAGTCATTTCATAAAATTCAAGTGATAGAAGCTCTTAAATTCGCTTTCCTATGTCGCTCTTCTAGTGAGAATCTCCTGGAGCTTGGACTCATCATAAAATATCAAGACTGTACCACAAGTTGTTTGTGGCTGCCTACCTAGGTACCTCAACTTCTCGGAGATTGTTGAATTTACACAGTATTGCGTGTATAATTGGCGGTATAGACCTAAATTATTAAAGAGATCTGGGGATAAGACAATATCTTGAGTCTCATAGAATCAATTGGCTATGCTGGATGCTGTTTCGCATTTTCTTGCTTTTTTTTTTTTTTTTCATTCTTGTCTGTTTGTTTTAGGATTGTGTGATGGTTGGACCATTGTTATAGTAAAAGCGTGTCTGTCCAAATGCTGCAAGATCTATAAAAAAAATAGAATCTTTTTTACTTTACGTAAGTGACCGGATTTGGGTATGGGTGGGTGCTCTAGTTGGTGTGTTTTGCTCCTTCTTTCTTATCGAACAGCTATTGTCCTGATCTCTTCTCCTTCTTTGCTGTGTTTTTTTACTCTCTTGTAACACCTCTACTCTAACCTTTAGCTTCTTCTCTTCCTGTTCTTCTTCTTTCTTTTTTACTTCTACAAATACTGTTGCTGTTGCTGCTGCTGCTGCTATCAACTCTATTTGCATTGGTAAACGTATCATAAGTAGGTACCATAAATATGCAGAATGGGGGGGGGGGGGAGGAATAAGCCACCGCTCTTAAAAGAATTTGGAACCTGGATGAAAAGGAATGAAGCTCTGATGATGAAGAATGAAAGCAAACAGGATGAACTTTTTATGAAGTTTTCCTTTTTTTGAAAAATTCAATGAGATGTAATTTCAGGGGTTGGAGAGACTGAGAAAACTAAAGCTAAAACTGTCTTCTTTATACGTAGGTGGCAGCACCCAAATTGCGCCATGGAAAAATCGGATAACCCAGCTCTCAGTGTCGCGGAGGAGAACAACCTGCTGCTTCGCCTGATCGTGGCCCAGCTGGTGTCCATCAACAATCGTCTGGACACCCTCGAGACTCACATCAACCGCCTCCTGCAGCAGTGCCAGCTGGTTACATCGGCCACAACTGCTTCCTGTGGGCTGACACTGGCCGAAGATCAGCCCATCCAAGATGAATGTCAACTCAGCCAAGGTGAAGGTCAACTCGGCCAAGGTGAAGTTCAACCCAGCCAAGGTGAAGGTCAGGAGAACTCCAGTAGTGTGATCGCGAGCATTCCAAATGACATTGACAGTTTGATTACGGCCAAGGTGGAATCCATGCGTCAGGAGGTGTTGGAAAGGGTGGGACAGGCCATGCAGGACTCCATGCTCAGAACGAGTTCCGTGATTGAAAAGTCCATGACACACATCAGCGAGGAGATCAGGAAGACCCTTGACACGTCTATCACCACTTTGGCTGTGGAGGTGGACAAGCTGAAACAGGGAATGGAAGATGTCAACCGGCGAGTACAGTCTTTTTCTCCTCCTGCCCGGGAATCGGACATTCGCAACACCATGGAGAAACTTTCCCAGACTCTGACGGCAGCCAACAAGAAAAGTGAGGCAGAGGTGACTGAGGTGCGCGACGCTCAGGCCGAGCTCTCAGAGGAGATCAGACAGCTGAAGCTGGACATTAGACAGCTGCAGCGACAGAGAAGTTCGCAGACTGGAAGTGAGACTCAGGAGTGAGACATGTTTGCCTCTGCTTATAAAGAACGGTACTGCTTGATGGTGAACGGCAAATTTTTAGCTGCTGTTTGCACTTGTTACTATTATGTTATTACGTATTCATAAGAATGGTACTCCATGTTGATGAATGGCAAAGTTTGGTAGTAGCTGTTTGCAGTTGTTACTATTATGGCTTTTATAGAACAGAAAAAACTGTTGCTATATATGACTTTATGAAGAGACACTACACACCAAACATGTGGTCCATAATCTTTCATACAGTCCTTAAACATTTTCCCAACAACTCCTTGTTGGTGAATGGCAAAGTTAATTTGCTGTTGGCAGTTATTATTAGATGTATGTTATGTAACAATGACTTTGCTTGTCATTAGAGAAAGCATATCTCTAGACTGTTAAGATCATAGATCGTCTTTTCTTGTCCTTTTGTTTTATTTTTAATATAATATAAGCACAGAGATCTATGCCAATTATTAAATGGACCATTCTGGTGCTGTCTTATCTCGCTTGTCCTTCCTGAGGACCCCCTGTGTGTTTGTGAAGTGTTACAATGTACAGTGAGATACATCTTTTGCTCTTCAGACATGATGTACATGTATGCATCAAGTTTTAAAGGTCACTTGATGCAATGTGAACATTCTATAGCCCATGTCTTCTCTTACTCTTTATTTTCTTTCCTTCCTGATCCGAACATTCTATAGCCCATGTCTTCTCTTACTCTTTATTTTCTTTCCTTCCTGATCCGAACATTCTATAGCCCATGTCTTCTATTACTCTTTATTTTCTTTCCTTCCTGATCCGAGTTTACATTCCCTTTCTTCTTGATTGTTCATTTTTCACAAATTTCTTTCCGCCCGTCTTCTCTCTCCCTTCCTTTGCAGGTTGTTTTTTTTAATTTGAAGAGCAGGATATCATACGGTATCACTGGTTGCATTTTGAATGTTCATGCATGTGATTACACTGTGTCACTGTGATGCACATGTTAATTTTATTTAGTGAATGTTTTGAGTGATCTTGAGCTGCTGAGCTGCATTACAAACAGTTTTTCTGTTGTAAACTTTGTTGCTAGAACAAATAATCCAAGAGGGAAAAACTGACTTTGCAGCCTATAATATATTTAGTAAATATTGTTGCTATTTTTTTTGGTACCCAAAGGGCTTTCTCTCCTCTGCATGATGCCATCTTCTCGATTGTTTATACTTTATACGTACGTTCCAGTTGGTGTGTCAGTCTGTACATTTGGGATTGATATGACCTGTTTAAGGGGGTTGCTAACTCTTTTACTTACACTTATAAACATTTGAATTTGCCTGTGATCTCTGCTTTAAATCCAGACCTCTTGTTTCTATTCATGATGACACAAAATACACTATATGTCATGATAGGAGGTAATAAATAGTTTCTGTATACCTGATTAATCATCTATATATATATATAATAGATTAAATGTTGCTTTCACGAACTTCTGCATCACAAAATGTGATAAACGTAATATACTGTCATGTCAGGGCTGCCCTTTTCAGCCAAACTTAAGAGGCTCGTTCACCCTTTGGTTTTCTTTCTTAAGGGTTATTTAAACTTATACCCTGGTTTTAGTAACTTAAAGGGTTGTTGTTGTTTTTCTGTTCATGTCTGACAAACTAATCCTGAAAAGTTGATTTTCTCCTAATGGTCTGACATAGACAAAAGGTGACTGCCGTGTATGTGTGTGGGTGTGTTGTCAAATCGTTGACTCGGCTTCAGGATAGAGAAGGGGAAAAACAATGTTGCCAAACGCACACTACCTATGTTTTAAAAGCGTATGAAAACCCCCGAAACAATATTCTAAAGAGTAAGGCTTGCCCACCAAGAAAACTTCAAAGGGGGTAATCTGTGGGTTTTATGTGTAATATATACGCACATCTGTGGGTAATTGGGAGCCCTGCAAGTCAGTATCACCAAGCAAACTCTACCTTACAAAGAAACCCCATGATGTACAAAAACATATTACTTACACAGCACCCATCGCATACACGCATAAGGTCACACACTGCTCCTCTTTCTCTCTCTCACTCTCTTTCTTATTGTCACTAAATCTTGTACTATATCCCCATAACATTGTTAATATAATATATTATATTACATATCAACATACACCAAGCATTACCAAGAAATATAGAGTGATTACTGCATTCCCTTGATGAAAATTGCATAGTTTTAGTTTATATATTGGGAAAAGAAAGATGGCTTTGTGTTGTAAATTGATGTTATTATATAAAGCTCTTAATTTATTGCATGTATACTCTGAACTTAAAATACTGATGAAAAACTTTAATTTTTATTGAATTTCTAAAGTTCAACTTACTGCTGTCTGTTTACTTCAAACTCTAACAGTGAAAGTGTGCGGACGGATTTGGGTCTTTGGTCTTCAATTAGGATAGTAGCCGTACATGATTATTATATATTAATTTGTATTTCTTTCATGATTCAGATTTTTGTTAATTTATGAGAGGAAATTTTTTTTACTATGATTCATGGATTAGTACAAAACATTTTTACTGGATTTGGTTATTTTGATTTTTAATATCATGTTCTAAAGGCTATTACATTGGTAACAGACGAATGAATCATTTTTCTTAATATTCATTATAATGTGACATGATGTGTTGTTTATTTTTCTATCTAGGCTTTGAGAGAATGTGTGATTAGTCTTAGTTCAGTGTACAGCTAATGTGTAAACGGTTTTCTTTTTTTATTTATCATGGTGGTTGCAAGAAAGGTGAAGACTTCAAAATTCAGCCGGATTAAAATTTAGGCCGAGAGCATTTATGATGCTAGATATGACTTGCACAGAGGTCAAAATATTGTTGAATAAGCTGAGAAGTAATTTGTTGACTACACATCAAGTATGATCAAGACTTTTTTTTGTGACAACAGTTCAGTTGTTCGTACTCAGTGTTTCTACCTTTGGTTTTAAAGAGCAGCAGGGAAGGAAAGATGCGCACAATGAATATTGGTGTCTTTTAAGCAGAGGTGCTGTATCATCCCACGCTGTCGACATGAGTTTGATTTGTGTTTGGGGAGGATTTATTACCGAGAGCATCTTTGTCCATTGGGATGTTGTATCCCTCTCGGCCTGGACTGGCTCTGACTGACAGGGTTGCTGCAGCCTGCCTCCTAAATTAATTGTATTAATATGTTTTAATAGTACAATAATCTTGATTGGGCGTAAACCAACTAGAATTATTATTAAATCTTCACGTTTCAAACAGCAGGCTAGTGATATGTTCTTGATTCCCTTTTGCTGTACCATATATTATTTTTATTTATCTGTCTATCCTACCGACCTACCTATCATATCTGTCTGTCTGTATGTCTCTTTATATTATAATTAGATCTATATTATAATATTATATACTAGCTGGGTACCTGTTCAATGAACAAACTCAAAAGAATCGATCGTCAAGTCATTGTGGAACCAGTGTGCACTGCTTGTGAACGGAAGCCTCCCTTGTTTACTGTGGCGTCTTAGATGATGAACTTTCCCAAGATTAGATCAAAACGAAACTAATGAAAAACTGAAAATTAAACTACAGTGACTTCAGACTCCTCAATATACTGTGCACCCTTTAAATGATTCATTTTTTTCAAATTCGAAAGTTAAGTGGTTCCGAAGTTTTAGGCGATCAAAGTGACGATCTTTCACAAATATAATATATATAATATACACATAGTTTAGGCCTATGCTAAATGGTTTTCAGATTCCCTCATGTTGAGAGTCTGTGCAGGAGTTCCATAATGTTCCCTCTTGATGTTGTCTTGTTTGGCTCACACTTTGCACGATGTTACATTTTTCAAGTGACTTTATCTTGTACGCATGGTCATATTCATATTGTGTAGAGGAGGTGCCTAAATTTCTTGCTCAATTATCTTGGAATTGTTTTATTTATCGGTCTATTTGGTCGCTTTTAAGCACAAGGGGACTATCCCGAAAAATACTGTTTTTCCCTTTTGTTCAGTCTGTTTAAAAGACAAGGAGAGTTTTCTCTACAACCAGACACTTATACATGTATTATACGCACCAATGAAACCAAACTTCTCCTCTATAGGTAGGGCAATGCCCACTTTTGGTGTAGGTCAATATTTCTAGAAACCCTTGAAATCTGGGTTAGCCCGCTTGTCCTTAAAAGCGACCATTTAATTAATTTATTGATTTTGTTTATTTATTTGTTATGAATGAACAAATGTTACCCACTAACGTGGTCTTTCTTTATCATATGTTATCTGATCGATCATCTGCAAACTTAATTTTTTTAATGCACTCTTGGCTCTTGGACCAAATATGTATTTGAGTCCAAGTTGAGTTCCATTGGTGTGTTTGCTGTAAAAGTTTTGATTTCTTTAGAAATAAACAGATTTGCAAGCACCATTGCCATCTATCATTTTATCAATTCTGTCTCTCTTTGACTGTCCATCTATGTCTCTGTCTGCCTGTCTGTCTGCCTGTCTCTGCAGTCTGTCTGTCTGTCTCTCTCTCATATAATTCTCTCTCTCTCTCTCTCTCTCTCTCTCTCTCTCTCTCTTTCTCTCTCTCGTGTCTTGGAGAAGAAAACTCGTCTTTTTCTTTCGATTTGTTCCTTTGCGGCGTCTCACAGTCTGCAGTCTCATTTTGTACTTACAGTTTCCCCACTTCCTGTTAGAAATAAGGGAAGTCACTCTCACTCTATACTCTTCCTATTATGTCGCACACCTGGCTGAAATGAAAGTAGCCTTCACTCTTCCTTCACTTCGAGAATTCATAAACTTGAGTACAAAATAATACAAATGGACCATACAGACTCCCCTTCTGTCTCGACTGACGTAGACCCAGTCAAGAAAATGTATCAGGAAATTCCAAGAGGGCAACCGAAATCCGGTCGGAAGTGGAAATCAGTCCGAATGAAAAGGTGATTCTTCTAGATCTAGAATCTACTTCTCAGATTCAGATCGAGATCAAAAATTAGAATCTAGATCTAGACTAGATTAGATCTAGATTATATCTATGAGACAGAGCAGAATTGAGGGCTTGGGGTAGGGGTAAGGGTAGGGTTAGGGGTAGGTTTTGCGGCAGGGTTAAGGTTAGGTCTAAGCCTCTTCTTTATTATTGTGTTTGGTATTTTTTTTACTTTCCCTTCTTTTAGTTTCCCCCACACTTTGTCTGCTGATCCGATGCCCGCCGCCTCATTGATGCCCCCCACCCCCCATGTTTCCCACTTTCTTTGTTGTAGAAAAGGTAAAATTGAAGATTAGCAGATCACCTGGCACCTGCATATTATTAAAATATGAGCTGTGTAAAAAAAGAGACTGATTCGTTCAAATACAAAAGCCTGTGCCTGTGTCATCTCGATTGTTTACCAAGAAAAAGTTGTGTTGCTGTGTAGAGCCGAGCATACTTTTGATTCCATAGACCAGCGCACAATTCATTACGTAGATCTACGTCAAGACTAGCTTATTATTGTAATAATGATCAGTTGCCGGGGGGGGGGGACTGAGGCGTATGTGACGTTCAACACCCGGACCGATAGTTCTCAAGTTCCGTTCTCAAAATTTGTTGATAATTATAAGCGAATGGAGTGGCCCATGTGTGTGCGTGCGTGTGTGAGAGTGTGCATCTCTGTGTGTCTATGTGTAAGGTGTGAATGGAAGTGGGGGAATTTTTTTTGCATGAAGGAGTTGTTTTTGCTGGGGGACTAAATGAAAAATAGGTTACTGCCAAGGTCGAGCAGTCTTGTTTTCTCGCAATACCTTTTGAAGGCATTTCAAATGAAGTATAGATCTAGTCCGAGAACGTTGCCCCAGCCACAATTTAAGCATCTGAATATTTAGACATTTAAAAATCTCTTGCTCTAGAAGTTGAATTCGATGCAAAAAAAATGCTTCTTCCCAGTCATGGCAGAATGAAAGATGACGCCTAAATCTCGCAAATAACCAAGAAATCTCGAGGTCGGAAACCGTTCGGAGAAATAAGAGTTCCAACTTTTTTTTCCCGAACGTTCGGAGAAATAGTCACTTCGCTATTCTTATTTGGACCTGAGTCCGAATATAATTTTTAGCTATATATTCGGACTCGAGTCCAAATATGGGTTTTATCTATTCGGACTCGGATCTGAAAAAAATGTTTTTTTCGGACTCAGCTTTTAAGTGAGTTATGTGAGTGTAAAGAATATAGATCTAAATGTCGTGGGGGGGGATTTTACGTAAAACCAGAATTAGAACTAGACCTCCCTAGAGTAAAATTACCGGTTTGGTCAAAATTAGGACGAAAATAGGCCTGTCGACTTTAAAGCTTTATAATATATTATATTTAAATTTCCTATCTGCCTTGCCCAAGAGATAAACCGAAACTTGCTACAGGAAGCCCTGTGATTGGATGACCCCAGGAATGTACTGTTTCAGCTTGTTCGCATATATTTGAGGCCCTTACTGGGTGTGAAAGTGACGCCAGATTTATTTACGTGTTCAGTCACATTATTTTTATGTTCTCATGGATTCGGATAGTATTTTGACATTCAGTCATTTTCAATTATTATCACATTTGTTTCTTTGCAAGCTTAATAACATGATTTTTAATGCTTGTTATCAACACTTGGACAAGATGATAGTTTGTCTAAAGTGGTCTTCCCCTTTAACCCTCATCCTGCGGTAGCCGGGTTTATGTCGCCCGATAAGCCTATTTCGGCACCTCGCCTACGTTCTGGTCCCGAATCAGTGTAGCCCCTGGCTCAGCGCGCATTGTCTTACGTATCATTCGGGTCCCGAGTCAGATCCCCATTCACGCAGGTCAAGTGTGTGTGCGTCAGTCTGCTTGAGCTTGTGTGCGTTTGTGGCCTTCTTCTAGAACCGCCTGGGCCTACGTTGGTTCGTAAACGAGGCACATGTGTCTTTCAAAACATGCCAAGTTATTAGCTCTAGATGTTCGTCCAATGAAATTATAGAAGAAATTGGCCCACTTAGACATGAGGAGCTCGAAAGGATAGTCAGGAAACAAGACTTCCACTTCTCTATACAAAATATTTCAAATGAGCTTGATTTTGTATGAAATGATACTACCTGATAAAAAATAAGCTTTTTCGATAGTTTTGTATACCATTGTGCAGGTACAAAGAACAATTTGAGTGTAAAACATTCGGAAATTGACCTAAATTATGCCCTTTCGAACCTCAGGTCATTCATAACAACAAGAGCGTCCAGAAAGGTTATTCGAATGGGCGTAACTACTCGTAATGTCTTATCAGCTTGTGAGAGGGGGTTATTCATGTGTTTGTAACACTTTATAAATAGAAAGCTATGAAAGATAAAGGGTTATTTTCATCATCGGTTAACACACTCTCGCTGTATTCATGGCGAAAACACACGTTTCCCGGCGCGCGCGCTGTACACCAACAGTACACACTGAGTGACCCCGGCGGCCTGCCCGGCACGTCCGACGTAATCGGTTGCTGATAAGATACGCATCTGGGCACAGATGCAGGATAAGAGTTAATAGCTATTTTAATGAGTATCATGTATCTGACCCACTCTACTACACTGGTATCTGGCTCACTTAACTACTGTGGTATCTGACTTTACTCTGCTACACTGGTATCCGACTGTATTACACACCGGTATCTGACTCTACTACACTGGTGTCTGACTGAGCTATACTGTATCGGACTCTACTATATTTAAATTATACACAAATTCCTGATTCTTTATCATATAACCATTGGCATTATAATATTTTTAATATTTTATGAGCCCGAAGGATGAAACTACAGATTTTATGTTACAATCCGGGCACCCTCCCCCCCTCCCCTTTGGGCAAAAACGGCGTGACTGAACTGCAAATTCTCTTTCATCCTTGATAGGGCCCCATATTTAAATAACTCTCCAGCTTTCAGAGTTTAACAAAACGTAGAATCTAGGCCACAACCAGTTTTAACTCTTCTGGGGGAGGAGCTTCACACTGTTTTGCTGAGTTGATGAAGAAAAAGCTGTCTTAAGGACTGTTTTTAGCAAAATGCCGCTGTTGCTGTAGTGTCAACGAAAGTAAGGGAGGTTGCTTTTTTAAGTTTGTGTGCCACTCTTTTAGGGTTAGATTTAAAAACAAAATTTTAAATAATTTTTGTGTGCTCCGGTGCCCGAAAACAAAAAAAAAACCCTGCTGCCCGACCTGGTATGATTACTCTAGAATTGCCTATTAGGATTGTGTAATTGTGTCAAAAGTCAAAAGACTGCATTCTCATTAGATCTACCCAACCTGTGTCTAAGTACGCGGTAAACGACAACTCAGGATCTTTCCATCACAACTACAGCATCATCAGTACTTCCACCACCATTTGTCTTTCCACATTTTTTATTTGATTTTGTTTTGTGTTATAATTTTTCTGTAATTTTTTTTAAAAATCATCACTCAAAACCGACAGCCGCGGCCTCTTCCCAGCACCCCCCCCCCTCCCCTTGTGTTGCATTGCATAGCATCGCACTAGATCTAGATCCAGGCACTCTTCAGGAGAAGTGGTCCCGGTCTAACTCCATAGAAATTAATACCCAATCTGAAATAAAACCAGAAGTCGAGTAGAAAAGCTGACTGAGTTGCCAGGGTGAAAAGGCCACCAGTAAATTTATACAAAAAGGTCCAAATCCATTTTCGATGTATTTGCGAAATTTTAAGTTACATTTCCTAAATCAGGGGGCAAAAATACATGGAAAAGCCTCAAAAAATTCTAAATACTCCGACAGCTTTTTTACTTGACTTTCGTTTTTGTTTTCAATTGTTGTGTAGAGCTATACATTTTTATGGAGTAAGGCCGTGACCACTTCTCCCGAAGAGTGCCCAAAATTTATATGATATGCTAGTCGAGTAAAAAAGCTGTCGGAGTATTTAGATTTTTTTGGTCTTTTCCATGTATTTTTGCCCCCTGATTTAGGAGATGTAACTTAAAATTTCGCAAATACTTCTAAAATGGATTAGGATCTTTTCTATCAGCTGGTGGCCTTTTCACTATGCAGAAGGCCGATATTCTTTCACTTTCCCTCCCGTTTCACACTGAGCTACTATGTGATGTGACTATGTGTCAATTTTGTAAAGATCTAGGCTATTGATGCACTGAACACGAATGTGGACTTCATTTCGGTTGCAAATTAATAGTTTTAATATTCGATGGTTTCTAATGGAACTTGGCCCAACATCACACTAGTCACTCTCTAGTAATTTCTGCACTTTGGACCAAAGAGGGGATTTCGGGGGGAGGGGGGGGATGTTTTGACCCATAATTTGATGTTTTGCAGTCAGGTTCTTGAATATAATTTTGATGATTTCTGACAGTAATAGATCTAGGTCGAACACAGAAGATTCGAAATCACGCATATGTCGAACTGTGCCTGCAGTCGCGTTTTTATTTCTTCTTTATTTTGTCCCTCGAACAACCGAAGCTGTTCCCGACAAATTCGAGCTACTGTCCATGTTAAACTGTAGTATAATGTGTGATCCGTAGCAAAAAGTACTGCAGTTTGTCACCTAAAGCAGTGCATCTGTGTGCCGGGGTGAAAGTAAAAATTTACCTGGAAAGCCTATTTTTAATACTTCATTTTTCAACTTAAAAGTAGGCTATGCCATATAAGCTTTTGCCGATAGGTGGGTACCTAAAATGTAGCATGTAGTTGCGAGCACCGTAAAACCTCTACTAAATAATAAATAAATGTGAAGCATGCTGACAAAATGAGTTACTTCTTAGATTCGAGCTCTATGGAAATAGGTACATCACACTTATAGGTGAAGTTTTTACAATTTATAAGTATGAAACAATAATAAGCATGTCATACTTGTAAAATATGGCATCAATAGAAAATCTACTAATTTGACCCTAGTGTCGATTTTTGGCCAATATCTCCATTTGTGGAATGCAAGAAGTAACTCATTTGGTCAGCACGCCTCACAAATAATAGTACGTCACTTTTCAAAATCGCTTGGCACAGTCTTCGACTAAGCAGTCGATTTGTGTTTAATCTCCTTTTCATTTTATGCTCTGCAGACACTCGGAGATCAAGAATGTGAAAAGCTGGAAGTCAAGCTGGGAAGAGAAGATGGCGAAGAAGGAACAGAAGAAACGACTGAAAGAGATGGAACAGCAGCTGAAGAGTGAGAAAGCCAAAAGGAAAGAGGTTCGTATACTACTGTGTTTTCGTGACCTCTTTTTTTTATTTTGATTGTCTTTGCAGCTGAATGCCGACAGGATCTTTTTGTTTGCTGTTGTTTTTGTAAGCCTTTCAACTGTCCCCGCGGTTCTATGCAAAAAAAATTCTGAAATTATGCAAACTGAGCCGAAAAATGTTAAATTGTGCGATTCTGTTAATTTGAACAAAGATGATAACGGAAAATAATCAGAGATTATGCTAAAAATGATCAAATTTTGCTAAATTATGCGGGGTGCATAAAACCACGGGGACATATTCAAATAGAAAAAACAAAGAACATAGGATGTGACTGGAAAAGTAGAAAAGCGTTTTTGGGGGCTCTCGTGGCCTAGAGGTTAAGATGTTGGCCTCTCATTCAAAGGTCCCGGGTTCAAATACAGTCGTTATTCATTTTGCTTAACTCAACAATGACATACCTATGTTGACCTCTCAAAATAACATTTTGTTTACAATGTTACGCTCATTCTGCAAGCTCTGTCCTTGACACCCAATAGAAAGGAAGTTTAAGTATATATAATAATTAATATGGCCATACTATAATTTTTATCTTGCATTTCTTCTTCCTAGCTCTGTCACCCTGTAAAAGTAAAAGAATTAACCTTGAAAATGGTTTCAAAATCCATGAGAAAACTTGGAGAGAAAAAAAGGGAAGTTTTTTTTCCTCATTGATAAACGGAAACCCTGTTCTGGTGCTTAAATTAATGATAAATGATGTGCTACAACACCAAGCACTCATGCTATAAAGGAAGAGGAAGGCCTGGCAAAATCAAAAGGTAGACCGAGGGTGTCAAAGAAACCCTGAGAAAATATAATATCACTACTGCAGAGCTGGCCTAACATAGAAAACTGCATCTCCTCTCGATGCTTAACGGGAACAGAGAATGAAAAAGTAAATTTGTGAGGCATCGTGGTGGAATCAGGCTCTCGTAAATTTTTGGGCATATTGAGTTATTGGTATCATCTTAAAGCTTGTTCATTTGTCTTGCTTTCAATGAAAAAAATTACCCATCCATCTTCAAAAGAAGTGGGGACATTTTGGATTGAAGGAGGTGGGGGTCACCTGATTTGAGAGGTAAAATT